CGCAACGCTGAGTTTCAATTTAAAGTTTATGGTTGTGTGTTTTTGTATAAAAGAGAATTCTTTTTTACTGGTAGATTTTCCGTTTATGTGGCATGAACGATATTGTTCAATAATTACAGTAATGTCACACTTATTATCCGAAAGTTGCACGTTGGATCAGTTATTTTAATTTCAATTAAAGGTGCAAATTATAATTAATAAATTCATGAATCATTCATACAGTAAAAAAGAATTCTCTAGGAACAGACGAAACCTTGTTAAAACTAAAAAAGACCTTATGCAACTGGAATTTATAAACAGGGATCATATCATTCATATACAGGTTCGGGGTTGATGTATCTTATTTATATTGTATTGGATGATTTCTTTGGTGAAAAAGAAAAGAGTTACTGAGCTGCTAAGTGATATCTGTCCTCCTATACGGCAGCGAATGTTGGACGGTCTCCTCAAAAGTGAAGAAGAGACTCGAAGCAGCGGAGATGTGGTTTTATAGAAGGGTGCTAAGGCAATCATGGAGCAAGCCTGTGAGCAACGATGAGGTCTTGGAAAGTATGCACACAAGGAGGAAGCTTATACTTAACATAAGGAAGAGGCAGATGAAATTTCTGGGACACGTAATGAGAAAAGAGAGCCTGGAGAATCTGATACTCGCAGGTCGAATAGAGGAAAAAAAGACAAAGGAAAAGAACACATGACATACCTAGCGGGCTTAAGTGCATGACAGAACGTAGTCTGGGGAGTTGACAGAGGCACGAATCTTGTTGAGAGCTAGAAGGGATATGGAGAAGTGGAGAGCCATGATCGCCTATGTCCTGAAAGAGTACTGCATATAAAAAATAGAATAAGGAGTTCACCGTACAGAGACTACGCAAATACAACGTTTTGATCTTGTATTTACCATCCACCAACGGAAGCTGGATGTGCTATGTAGTTGATTTAAACTTAAGTACTCATCCGTGATTATCTCGACGACTGTCACGACTAGACTTTAAGAGCAAGAAAGAAGAGATAATATAACTCGGTTCCAGAGCGGAAGTCGGGGGTATTTTACTCGCTTCCTGGAAAGATGTCTCACAAAGTAGTTTTTAACGTGGTGTTGCCACCGGTCAATCCAAAAATTGCCCAACTCAGTAAGTCTTTTCTTTGTCACCAAAGAAATTTCGCAATACTCTGCCCAGCTTCTAAAATGCATCCTTAGCCATCCCAATCCGTCTTCGGATCTCAGTGTCGCACCTACTTCCTAGTCACAAAACATGCTTAATTTTAGTGTTCCCGACCTGTAAATCGCATTTTGGACCCATCCTAAACTATCATAAACAGCACTAGTAGTCGTCGTTATAGATTCAGAAACAGTTACCTGCTAAGGCCTGGCTGCAATATTTTGTTATATGCAAAACAATTTGAAGGATACATTATGCTTTCAATTTAGAGATTCTTATAGGCAAAACTGGTTCCATTGAAATCCGTTATTCTCAGAACTCGTTACGCTATCGCTATTTCCATGGAAAATGTTAAGACGAACAACATTCCTTGGGTCCATCAGTTCTAACCTTCATGGCCAATACTCCCCACCATGTCCCGACCATTGTAGTGAACGACCTTCCTTCTCTTCGTATTCCATTGGTGAGATATAAGTACCACTCGAGCAGCTTCTTCCCACAAGCCGGTACTTTTTGAAACCGACTCCCAAGAGGATGCTTCCCCAATAACTACAATCTTAACCTGTTCAAGTCTAGGATCAACCGTTATCTTCACAACATATCCCCATAGACTTTTCCTCTTACTCTGTAGCCTTCTAACTCGAGTGGATCTTGGGCCTTGTACAAGGTGAACATCATTATAAAAAAATATTTTTACGTGTGAGGAACTAATTCTACCATTTAGTGGGTTTAAAACTTTGGCTAATTTTCTGGCTAGCTTAATGCTGATTTGGGCCTCATCGGAATACCTTGTTTATCTACAGTTGGTAATCCGTAAAATATGGGTGTTTTCGGATGGTGTTTGGTTAGTTTTAACCAAGAAATCTCTTCATTTTTTTTAATTAATTTCCTGATTGCACATTCAATTATCCCCTTTGACCTTATTTTCGGCCTTTCTTGACCTTTAGTTTTGGCCGAGGTGAAGCTTACATAGCCTATGTACTTTTTGGTTCTTAGCCTATGTTTCACTCAACCCGCTTCTTCCCATGAACTGTTATTTTGTGGAACTGACTCCCATGAGGATGCTTCCCCGATCACTACAATCTTAACCTGTTCAATTTTAGAGTTAACCATATATCCTCATAAACTGTGCCTCTTACCAGAGAGTGCATATTTTCTACGAAATTTCTTGAATATTCAGATCGGTGAATATAATTAATACTGTTTAATTAAAGTTACAGAACATTTACTGAAATTATGTATATAAAATTAAATTTTGTAAAAATATGTGAATAGTTTGAACACAAAATTTTTTTACGGAAACAAGCCTCTACCTCGAGCAGTTCTTGAGCTTTGTACATAGCGAACCTTATTGTAAAAAAAAAAAAAAAAAAAAAAAACACTGGACAATATATATATTAACATATGAATGATTACTCTATAAAAAAGTCTATGACGTACATCAAATTTTAACAAATATTCGTAGGATTTATAATAGATCCAAACGGCATATATGAAAATAAAAAAAATGTATCGAGTTCTTACTATTTCTAAAAGTAACCTGCCACAGCTATAACCACATCTGGATTAAATCTAAGTATATTTATCTCAAGTCCCAGGTGGTAGTAGTAATCCTTAGTGAGGGAGTTAGGTTTAATCTTTGAAGCCTGAGGTTTTCCCAAATGAGCACATGCTGAGAAAACTCAAACCGATTTTGTCCCTGATTCCATGTACGCGTGGGACTCCCAATTAAATTCCGGCCTTGTACCACATTCCACTGTCACATATCTACTGTTATTAGAAGGTTGAACATATGAGTCTTTAAATATATATTTTAAAAGTCTTATTGTTGGGTTTTGCACTTTACATTCAGTCCCATTTTTAACTTTTGCTACGTTAAAATATTTTTCGTGTTCAATCAATTCATATATTTTTACAAAAATTTAATTTTATATACATAATTTATTTCAGCAAATGTTCTGCATCTTTAATTAAATAGTATTAATTGTATTTACCGACCTGAATATCCGAGGAATTTCGTAGAAAATATGCGTTCTCCGGTAAATGTAATTAAAAGTGTTTAATTAAAAAAAAAAGCAAAAAAAAAAAAAAAAAAAACCAAAAAAAAGCAAAAAAAAAAACAAAAAAAAAAAAAAACAAAAAAAACAGAGCATTTACTTAAGTAAATTATATCTATAATAATAACGTATAAAAGAAAATATATTAAATAATTGTCTGACTTAATCCATTTCATAATATGTTGTCATTATCTACGTTAAGATGGAAATGAACAGAAATGATCGATCGAGAAAAATCATCGAAGGTGTGTGTAGAAACAGAAATTTGGACTTTGATAACCAGACGTTTCTCTGTGGTTGACAGCACGTCAGGCCAAATGACAGTTCCCATAAGAGTTACAGGTTCGATTCCTGTCGGAGAGTGCATATTTTTTACGAAATTTCTCGAATGTTCAGGCCAGTAAATGTAATTAATACTGTTTAGTTAAAAAAAACATCAACAAAAAAAACCCCCCAAAAACAAACAATTAAGACATGCGTGTCCGTCAACCTTAAACAATAATCTTTGTCAATTTTATTTTTCAGTCTTTATGATGGTGGATACTTGGCTCTACTGTTAGTATATATATATATATATATATATATATATATATATATATATATATATATATCTGTCTTTTTCCTGCACGCACGCACAAAAACACACACACACATATACATATATATATATATATATATATATATATATATATATATATATATATATATGTGTGTGTGTGTGTGTGTGTGTGTGTGTGTGTGTGTGTGTGTGTGTGTGTGTGTAGGAGAGAAACAGATATATATATATATATATATATATATATATATATGTGTGTGTGTGTGTGTGTGTGTGTGTGTGGAGAGAGAGAGAGATGGTAATGATTGAACGAGCAGTCAGTGCTGCTGTCGATTGAAATTTATAGAAAACAAAATTTTCTTAAAACCATTTTTCAGAAAAATATGTTTCCCAAATTCCTTAGCTATTTATCAGCTTATTCAGTATTGATTGCGGTTTCTTTCCTAACCTTTTGTTTAAAGTAGTGTGGAAAGTCACCATGTTGGTTACAGCCTTGTTTTCGCTTCGAGTTAGATGTAACATCCATTATATCTGTTGTTGCTTTTTGATGTCCTCAAGTGATGAGGGTTCTGCTATCCCTTACAGTGCTTCGTTTCTGATTCTGTAACGCCAAGCCACAATGTCAGAAGAAGAATGGTCTTCGCTAAGATCCAATGGATTCATTCCCTCAAAACCATTTTTAAGCATTTTAAGCATTGTTCTTACAAAGAGGTATATATATATATATATATATATATATATGTATGTATGTATGTATATATATAAAAGAAAGAGGTTGTAATGGTTCCAACGAGAAAAAAGTATGTGTATTAAAAAGAAGAGAAGAGAGGTGTCGCAAATGTTTTTGGTTGTAATGTGGATTTATTTAGAAAAAAATATTATGCTTTGTTTTACATAATTGTACTACACGTGTTTCTGGTATCGTGACCGTCTTCAGGTAAATGTGGAGATTTCCACATATTATTAAAAATAATTAATTTTTTCTTTTGTTTTCCAATGTTAAATATTCTCGTTATGAGACATTTTCTGTGTTTGTAATCCGAATTTCTTTCTTGAATTGGCAAATGAAGAGTTTTGCTCATAAAACAATTAAGGTTGGTCCAAGGGAATGATGAATTGCTTATCGGCATTTTATCTTTAATGTTTTACTGAGCCCTATATATATATATATATATATATATATATATATATATATATATATTGAGAGAGATAGAGAAACAGACAGACAGCGAGGAAGACAGAAAGATGGAGGAATATATCAAGTAATAGATAGATAGATAGATAGATAGATAGATAGATAGATAGATAGATAGATAGATAGATTACATTAAGAGTGACAACTAGAAAGTAAAAAAGCTGAAACAGCAAACTGTAAAACAAAATGTGTAAACATGCCAGTAGAAAATATAAACATAATAACCTCATCCACATGTAAAAAATGATTAAAAATAATGGAAGCCTTAATAATAAAAAAGAAAAAGCCAACACTTAATAATATTAACTACAAACACGGCCACAATGTGATATCTGCGTTCGGAAAATAAAATATTACTATAATTCTAAAAAAACACACACAACTTGTACACCCAATTAAAAAGCAATAATAAAATCCTCCTTGACAATGGCTAAAAGTATAGCCGAAAGAGGTCGGAATTATAGAACATTTGGAAAGTTTCTACACACTCTGTGTTCAAAAATGAAAAAACTTCTTCGAACACAAGAAAAATTAAATAAAAATCTTAAACGTAGTACCTTGTCTGTCGTCTATAATGAAACATGTATAAATGAAGGATTGCTGCCTAAATGCACAATACATACATATGTGTGTGTGTATTACAACAGAATTCATCCTCATGTATATATATATATATATATATATATATATATATATATATAGCATCTATATATATATATAAATATATATATATATATATATATATATATATTATAGTTACTAGAGAGAAACGGATATGTTAGATAGATAGATAGATAGATAGATAGATAGATAGATAGATAGATAGATAATGAACAAAGATAGATGTATGGGGAGAGGCGAGTGAAAAAGAGACATAAATAGATAAATATATAGATGTATACTCTCCTTTCTCTGATAGGGTCAAACTGTCATATATGAAGACATAGATAGATAGATAGATAGATAGATAGATAGATAGATAGATAGATAGATAGATAGATAATGAAGATGGATGCATAGGTAGGGGGAGAAAGAAAAGAGAGATAATAGATATGGACAAACTGCAGATAGATATATAGATGTATATTACCATTTCTGCGATAGAAACAAACTGCCATATATGTAGAGACATAGATAGATAGATAGATAGATAGATAGATAGATAGATAGATATGAACAAGCAACAGATAGATAGATAGATAGATAGATAGATAGATAGATAGATAGATAGATAGATAGATAGATTGAAAAGCAAAGAATAACGAGGTAGCTAAATAGATAGATAGATAGAAAAAAGAATGAGATAGATAGATAGATAGATAGATAGATAGATAGATAGGGAAAAGAATGAGATAGATAGATAGATAGATAGATAGATAGATAGATAGATAGATAGATAGATATGTACAGGCAGTATATAATGAACAGATATCAGATAGATAGATAGATAGATAGATAGATAGATAGATAGATAGATAGATAGATAGATAGGGAAAAGAATGAGATAGATAGATAGATAGATAGATAGATAGATAGATAGATAGATAGATAGATGGATAGATGGGGAAAGAATGAGATAGATAGATGGATAGATAGATAGATAGATGGATGGATAGATAGATAGATGATATGTACAGGCAGTATATAATGAACAGATATCAGATAGATAGATAGATAGATAGATAGATAGATAGATAGATAGATAGATAGGGAAAAGAATGAGATAGATAGATAGATAGATAGATAGATAGATAGATAGATAGATAGATATAGATAGATAGATAGATAGATATGTACAGGCAGTATATAATGAACAGATATCAGATAGATAGATAGATAGATGATAGATAGATAGATAGATAGATGGGGAAAAGAATGAGAGATGGATAGATAGATAGATAGATAGATAGATAGATAGATAGATGGGGAAAAGAATGAGATAGATAGATAGATAGATAGATAGATAGATAGATAGATAGATAGATAGATAGATTTAAAATGAAAGTAATATAAGTGACAAGAAAATTAAGAAAAAGTGAAATTTAATCGACATAAAAATGAAGGTAAGAAAACTTATAGAACAGGTACTGTCACAAGATTTCAAGCGTGAAATAAAAACATATGAACGGTACTGCAAATATGTGTGTCATATTGTCTTTGGGATTTCTCCTATCTGGCAAAAAATATAAATATTCATTGTTATTTTCGTTCGTTCCAAGCCCAAATCAAAAGAAGGAATCGGTGTTCGTATATAGTTTCGTATATATTCATGTTGGCTTCGCAAACGAATGCCTAAGAAGGCATCATGCTTTTGCTGTAGGTCACATCGAATATTTAAGAAAGATAACGAGGAAGACGTCTGACAACTGAATTGGTAATGAGTTAAGCACGACATTGGCTTAGGCGAACAAAGATTTTATCAGACGACAGAAACATAAAAAAACCTTAGAAAAATACAAAAGTTCGCAACGATATCATGTGGATTAACTTCCTCTGTGGTGCCGAATCCTGAGTCATATGCCGCCGTTATCTCCGCTAACTTGATCTGTATATGTTTTATATGTAACTAAATAATAATTAATAATAATAGCAATGATAGTTAAACATCGGGTATGGAGAGGTTGGAGAAAGTAGCTAACTCTTTCTGCTATAATCTATATACAGTGAAACCCGGATATAAGAGACCCGGATATAAGAGAAGCCCGGATATAAGAGAAGCCCGGATATAAGAGAGATTTTCTCTGGTCCCAAATTAGAGCCAGTGTTAATGTATATAAAATAGACCAAACCCAAATATAAGAGAAACCCGGATATAAGAGACTTCTTCTCCGGTCCCGACAACTCTCTTATATCCGGGTTACACTGTATTTACAAGATTGTATTTATCAGACAAAAAAAAATGGATTACTGCTGTCACATCTGAACTGGATTTGTTTAATCCTGACGTTCAGACTCGGCAGAGTTAAAAATCGTTTGCGTGGCCTTTTGGGTGATGAAGTGATTTTAACTTATTATTTCTTTCCAATAAAAGAAAACGTTCTTAGCTCCTCGCTACGCTATCATTAATATTAATGAAACATGTTGAAGCCAAGTTAATTCTTTAGTTCCATCAAGCCAGACCTTTATAATTAGAAGCCGCTAGATTGATTCATTGTCTACGACTTATCAAACCATTTCTGGTTATTTTGAGGCCAGAACATATTTTTTTTTAGATTGTAAGAATTTTCTTTTTGAGATAATAAGTCTTACTAATTAACCTATAGCCTGGGAAAGATGAGGTGGATACAGACATTCCCCGGGGGTGCTTGAGCGTAAGTAAATATAACGAAACCAACTGAAACTCTACTCGGCTCCTCGATTAACATTTTCAAGACATTATCCATTACACCACCCGCACATTGAATCTTGCACCACCTGGTTTTCCCAAGCGGTTACCTATCTAGGTACTGACCTGACTCGACGTTGCTTAACTTCGGTGATCGTACGAAAACCAGTGTTTCAAGTAGATAATAACCCGGCAAAATCGGCTCATCTTCTTTCCCTTCATGTTTCATAGGTAAGCAGGAAGTCTAATTGAGACAGCTTCTAAAATAGAAACTATTGTTTTGTGGAAAAGACTCGGGAGGGGATCACTACAATCACTATAATCTCAACCTCTTTATATCTAGTGTCAACCGTTATCTATCTTACATATCCTCTTAATATGCAGCATTTTCCCCCCTTCCTTGTGCGCCTTGTATTGCGTAAACAACAACAATAAAAATAAATTTAATGTGTGAAATCTAATGAATAATTATATCAGGACTTCGAGCAGCCAATGAAACGCTGTCAAATGCCTCACAAGGCACTCATGAAGACTGGAATAATTTGAATTCGGCTAGAGTACCGAAAAACATATACTTCTAAACACGTTCTATATATACGCAAATGCCTGATTGAAAAACTGGTAATTTGGAAAAGATTTGGATTCCACACGATAGCAGCGTTGTAGTAAACGGCTTGATGTTAGTTTATTTATTTTTATTTTTTGTTTTTCGGCATATCAACACCTCAATGTGTTACTTAATGCCGACAAGATTTTTAGGATAGGTTCGTATGAATAGAATAAGTATTCTTTATAGGAAATCAGTTTGTAGATTAGGTTTCATTGATGTATTTTTTCTTTTTCTTTTTTTTTTTTTTAGTAAAGAGGGTTATTTTCCAGAGTCAAATGTATTGTTAGTTTTTTTTTTTTTTCAAAAATGTATTGCTGTTATTGTTTTTACTATAAAAATGTGTTTATATACTTTCATAGTGTTTTCACTCCAGTTCGGGTAAGTTAATTATAGCTGGGAACTTAACAGGTGCTACCACCCCGGGTCAGAATGCATCTGGGAACAACGGCAATTAAGAAGTGATTCCACGTTCCTCAAAACTTCCGGAACAGAGACCTTGCTGCCGGATTTAGTTTATCGTCATACCCAGGACGGAATAAACACCTAGGAGACTGAGGAAGAGACTGATGTATTGTGGAAATTTACTAACCCTTAATCCAGACGTCAGTTGCGACTATTGTGAACACTGAAGTTTTCTTCTTTATGTGCCGTGTCCTTTCAGGACGTAAGCGATCATGTCTCTCCACCTCTTCCTGTCCCTTGTAGCATTTAATAAGTTTTCTTTTTTTCTTTTTTCTCCCATCCATGCTCTGTCATCCATTTTCTCAAGACCATCAAGTATGTTACGCGCTTCTTTCCTTTGTCCCTCTTTCCCTCAATCTGTCTCACGCGTATCAGGTTTTCCAAGCTATCCTTCCTCATTATATGCACCGGAAATAGCAACTGCCTCTTTCTGATGTCAAGTATGAGTTTCCTTTTTGTTCCCATTCTCCCCAAAACCTCGTTGTTGCTCACATGTTCAGTCCATTATATCCTCAGCATCTTCCTGTAGAACAATATTCCTCATCTTTGAGGAGATTGCCCGGCATTCGTTGCCATACTGGAGGACAGATATTACACAACAGTTCAGTACTCTAGTGCACAATAATAATAATAATAATAATAACAGTAACAACAACGATTAGTTTGTGGAATGTTGAGGGATAAAATTTCGCATTTTAAAAATATTCAACTCATCACAAAAGGAAAAGAAAAAAAAACAGACAAAGCGTAAATTTAAACTTTCTACATTCCAGAAATTGGTGAGGTATTTTGCAAAAACAATATTTTCATTTTGTTTTTTTAGTTTAGTGTCTTATGAAAACACTTTTCATACGACAGAAAATAGACTAGACGCGCCGCTTAGTACTCTAACTCCGACTCTAACTCCGACTCTAACTCCGACTTTCACTTGGACTAGCTACTCGATACGTTTGTGGCACCATTTACCAAGGCAAAAAAGAAAAGAAAGGAAAGAGAGGAAGGAAAGAAATGAAAAGAGAGGCGAGACCCAAACGTGGATGATATGTAGGACACCCACGACTAAGAGACAATGGATAAAGGATATTTTGATAAGTAACAAATGGCGAAGAGTGTCATTACAATGGCAGGGAAATTCTGAGTGGATGGGGGGATCGCTGTGTTCTGGCGACGAGCTGTGTTATCGGGGATACATAAACAAACCGCTAATGCGGGAAAACATCTGATTAAGGAAACCACAGACCGACTAGCCAAAGAAAAATCCAACTGGAAATGTTACTTTGATAATTGACAAAAAACAGGTGAACTACAGGGCTTTGGATAGATATGAAAAATTAATTGTGTCAAACCCGCACACGAGGTGGCGACTGACCATTTTTTTTTCGACAAAACATTTTTTAGCTGTGATAACAAACTATGTTATTAGTAATGTTCACCAAAGAGTGACTGGAACCATAGAAATGTTTCTTTTTTTTTTTTTTGCGACGGTCTGGCCGTGTTAAATTGACTACCCATTCTGATAATTAGCGATAATCTGACTGACGATGTCCAGATGAGACCGGGGTAAAATAATTTTTTTTTGAGCGAGATATATATTTTTTTCCCCTGAAACAAAGCCCGCGGGATCGTACACGCCCGGCTGGACATCATTGGCCGAGTGGTGATCACGTGACGCAAGGAGGAAACTGTCACCGCCCATTTAGAGGAAGGGTATGAGAGGTCGCCACGAGGAAGTGGGGAGGACAGCCGACACCCCCCTGAAGCATGGTGAGAAGGTGGGAGTAAGAGAAGACTCCCCAAAAAATGGAAAGAAGTGGAAAATTCCTAACCAAAAATAAAAGAAGTGGATAGGTATTTAGAATTATCGAGGAACCCCCCGGCGCCGACAAACCCACCCCGGTTTTTGTCGGCGTCCATATAAGCGAAGTCGCAGCGAGCGAAAATCAGTTCCAGCAGAGAGTTCTAGAGTTGAGTTCGGGAGAGACAGTTCCCAGAGTCAGTCTCCAGTGCTCAGTTGAAGCAAGCTTCGCATCGGCTGACCAAGATTCGCGCAATTTCCGGACTCATCTTCAATCCAAGAACAATTATTTTGAAGAGCGACTTAGATCCAGACCACCAAAATAAGTTTTTTTTCGACTTTCTCCCGAAGACACACCAAAAAACCAATTTCTTAAAAAGCAAACAACTTGAAGTGTTAAAACTCGCCTAACGGAAAACAACGTGTCACAATCCATAGAACGGGTCGGAAGATAGACGCAGTCCTATGTATCCAACAACTAGACATAAAGTTTCTTATCCTTTTCTTTGATACCTTGAACTTTTGAGTTATCATTTTATTTCTTTTATACGTATTTGTGCGATACCACCCCCACTTGGACCCAACTTGCATTGCGGCCCCAACGACTGATTGATTTCGTCTGCCTAAGATCGATTCACAACGTGGGTAGGCGGACTGGAGATCAACGCAGTTACTTTGGTAACCAGACGTTGGAAGCGAGTTGGGAACGACGAGGCTGATATCGGATCTGACCAGATTCCCATCCGAATCACCAAAAGGTTAGAACGTCACATTTGGGTGCCGCGACCGATACCAAGCCAGTTGGTCGTCACAGGACGAGACAACACGACTGACGCGACGGGCGGACGTCACGTTTGGAGCGGCGACACCCGAACGAAGCAGCGAAGAGCGAGCGAAGGCTGTGTTCAGGGACGTCACACGTTATCCTTTTAATTATACCTGGTGTACGGACGTAGTAGCGCACACAAATATACACGCGAATATTTTAACAGAGAAAGATACTTAGCTCGAATTGAATCCGTGTCACTTGAGCGATATCCGATATCAAATTTCCAATAACTTAAACTGAAACTTTGCTGGTAAATAGTTTCATATATGTTTGAAGTGTAGCGTAAATTTCCTCTTTATCTGTAAATTATAACTTAATTAAATTGTTGGCATCAACTCAGTAGGAATATCGTATATTATTAATCATTTTGAAGGAAAAAAAGATTATATTTTTTTCTGAAATTGGTTAATAGAATATTTTTAATAATGTGTCCGCTATAATTTAACTCCGCTTAATTTGTTTATTTTACAAAATCTAAATTTAATGTAAATGTTTAAAGATTTTTTTTTCACAAACACTACAATTTAAAATCAGACGTAGAAAACATAAGTAAATATTACTTATCGATGGAAAGAAAAGTAGCTGCTAAGCATAAATTAAATGAACCTACCATGTACACACGACTGAATAGGAACGGTGATTCTCTGGAAATCGTGCAAACAATCGGCTTTAGACAATGTAAACAAAGCACGATGCAGACAAATAAGGTTATTTAGAAATTTAAAATTCAGACACGTCACTCAATTTAAGCAAGATTTAATAAGATTTTATAAATTTAAATAGCATTTAGGTTCGATTATGGTTATTCAGTAAACCACAAAATTAAAGAAAAGCAAGTGAAACGGTAAAAGAATTCATTCTATATTGCCTGAAAAATTATAACGAAGATGAAGATAAAAATTCTAGGCTTTGTTATTAGGACGATTTGAATGATTTCAAAAGCTATATTTTGAATCATTTTTACCCCAAATCAAGGTACTAAAGGACATTAAAAGAGTGAACAAGGGGTTAGAAAAACTAAAAGAGACAAAGAGGACAGTAAAAGAACAGACTTCAAGGGGATAGAAAGTGGCCACTGACATTGCATTTAGATTTTTGAAGATCATAGGAAAGCAAGAAGCCACAAGAGAGTCCTAGAGTGGCAAGACAGGTTACCAATCACCAATCCAACAATCTGGTTTAATCATTATCCGGCACTCATTCCTAGGAATGAAACTTCATATCTGCCTCGTCGGTTGTTTTTGCCCACTTGAAAACACTAGTAAGGCATTTCTATTTTTGTATATTTTTGCCATAACCTGCTGAAGTTTAGCCCACACTATCGCCCACTTCATTCATAATTACCATTTTATCATTAAAGTTCTACATTGAGTGGCTCTCAGCTTTGTATCTGACGAATCTTAATGTAATAAAATATTCTTGACAGTAATGGACAGAATGGCTATCAAAGACAAACAACTGTCGTTATTGAACTATTTAAT